CTAATAAAAGGGCAATATCAGCACGAGTTAACATCAAAGCATTTACAACATCTAAAGGCAAACACCAAGATCTGGTAAATAGATCTATCTCTGTATTTTATCAACAATTGAGATATTTATTTAGTAAAATAAATATTTATGATTTATTAAGGGTGATCATGATTGTTTTGTTACCGTGATCTACTGTTTTGCTTTTTGAGACGTCTCCATTTGTGATCAACTGCTTTAACAATTTCCAACAATCCAAAGAACGTTTTAATAATAACATGGCTTCATCATTTAGTGATGATAATGATTCTATGAAAAAAAAGTATTAATTGATGTTAGAAAGTTGTATTATATATACATGTCTATTGGTATATAAAAGTTTTTTATAAGTTTTTTCACACGCATTTTTAACAATTTTCAAATTATTTTATTTTATAGAAGGAACTAAATTCATCTTCACGGAGCCTAAACGATGATTATAATACATTAGGAAATATGATCGTATTGATGCAACATGGTTGGCCTTATTGGCGTGATCGCCTTTTCAGGCCAGTTGTTTTACAAAAAATTAAAGAACTTAATGGATTAAAATATCCGGATTTATTAGGTTTTGTTAGCAGTAAGTTAATTTCTTTTTTTTTTATTACTGTTATTGTTATTGTTATTATTATTATTATTATTTATTTGTTATTTCTTTTATGGTTTTTTAAAAAATATATTTTAACGATTCTATTATTATTATTATTATTATTATCATCATCATTATTGAAATCACATTTTGATTTAAATAAATATATTATAATATATGTTAATATAAGACATTGATATATTAAAAGAACTACATGATTTATACAAAGAGAATCCAAATATCTATTATTGTCTAATATCATCGTCACCGTCTTCTTCATCGAATAATAATGAAAACAATGAAGCAATCAGATCAATTAAAGCATTAGAAGAAAAGATTAAGAATGATTCAATATATTCTTATTACAATATTATTGATGATAATAATAATAATTCACTAATGGAATTTTGTAAAGCAAAATTAGTTGAAGCAAAAAAAAAGTCGGAAAAATCTTCCTCTCCTTGTGTTGTTAAAATTGAAAGAAGAAATGAAAGAAGTGAAGTTAGTGGTTACAATAATAGTAACAATAATAACAAAATAGATACTTTTAACATTAATAATAATAGTAGTAATAATAATAATAATAATAATAATAATAATAATAATAATAGTAGTAATTCAATCTCCTCTGGATCAACAAAAAAATTTTCGAAAATGGCTGTATCTTCTATTTTAACCAGTGATAGCGATATTTAATGAAAATAGTTCATTAATATTGGTTCATCTATTAAACACAAAAAATAATATGAAAAAAGACTATTTTTATTATTTTTTTAATTAATTTACATAGAATTTTTTTTCATGTATAATAATAATAATAATAACAACAATAATAATGAGTTTCTCTGTATTATTTTATTAAATATGTTTTCCACAAAAGTCTGTGATAAATATAGATGGGTGTCTAAACTAAATTATTTAGACAATGTCTAAAATATAAATTAATTTAGACATTTAGACATTTTTGTCTAAATACTATTTTGACTTTAGACAATCCCAAAAACAATTTAGACGCCCATCTATACTGATCAAGTAAATGGTATTCAAATACGCGTATTTTTATTTTTTTTCTCGCAGAATTCTCACGAAATCAATTCTACCATGGATCTGTGACAGTCACATCTTTTTTATATTAAATGGAAAAAGTATTCTCGTCTTTTAACTTTAGTGAAAATGAAGAAAGATCTATTATTTGATTGGTTCTAACAAATTTTCGACTTTTCGAGAAACTTCAACTTGCGTCAAATTAATTATTATTTATAAAAAGTTACGTAAATTCCAATCTTTTACATCTAATAAATAACCACCGTCTAATTCATCATCATATTTTCTAACAAATAATTGTAAACTTCACGATTATTACTTTGAAGTGGCTTTATTGTAAATGGTTTAGGTTTTAATTCTTTCCAAGCTAATAATGAATTCATGTCAGAAATATCGGTTTTTTATGCTTTTGGTAGTGTTTGATTAATAATTATAACCTGTTCTAAATGTAATATGGTTTTTAATTATTACAATTATTAAATTACAATTGATCAAATTGATTCTCGCTCAATAAAAGTGGCGTGTGACTGAGTATTGATTTGCTATGGATGATATTAATCCATTGAACTTTCAAGCAAGGCATATTGCCTCCAGATCGATTTTGAGTTAGGACTACCTTTTATATGTAACACGTTATAAGGAATATTTTTGGCTTGGAAAGAAAAGATAATAGAGTACAGTATTATTTCATTCGATGCAACATAAGTTAATTCGTTAATTTATAGAAAATTTCAATATAAAAAGTTTTATTCAATCAGGACGACGAAGACCTTTATCATCACGTTTTTATTGGTAATGCCTTTCTTTCACTACCCTGGTATAATGAGTGAATCAGTAAAAATGTTCCAGTTCTAATAAAAAACCGTCCATCCTCTCCCAAAAAAAAGTGATTCGTCGTCCAAAAATGCGTTTCTAAAAAAACCAATCAAATCTACCATAATTGGTAGACATTTTTCTTGAATGCATAATTCTTTGACTTTCGAATAAAGTAGAAATTCGAGATGTTAAAGATTATTGAAAGAATCAATAAAATTAGCAGCTTGGGATCCTGAGAATTAATCAAATAATTAGATTAAATAAAATAATAAAGTAAAATATATATTCATATAAAAAGATATATTATGATTTGACGAAATATAATATAGCTATTATTAATATCAGTGCCTTCATTCACAAATTCCACCACCACAATAACAATGATTGTTTCTTCATCTTTATTCACTACATTATCATCATTTCAGTGTGTCTTATATTATGGATTCTAATAAAGATTCGATTTTATTGAAGATATTGATGACCGACAGCACTTATTATGTCATTGACTATAATAACAATGGATACGAGGAAATATTAATAGTAATATTGACAGAAGGTGTGAGGATACTGTAAACATTAATAGCAATGTTGTAAAAATGAATTTAAAAAAATCAAAAAAGATCACAAAAAAAAGTTATATTTGGAACTACTATAAATGACTTCTTAATAATACTTATTCAACTAAAGTGAAATGTGAAGTAAATGGTTGTGGCATATCATAAATCTATAACAACATTGATTGAACATCCTTGTTCTATAACATAATATTAACGAAAATTATTAAAGTGTTAGGTGGTCTAATTATTATCCAAAGTTGCTTTAATCCAAAAGCACATTATTATTAAGTCTAAAAAACATTCCCAGATGAAATTGAGCAGGTAGATGAAGAAGCTTGAGCTGAAATGGGAGAGCTTTTACAAGAATGTATTAAGTAAGTTAGAAATTTTGTGATTACTTCCTTTGGGGAAGAAGTCAAGCAAATGCATCTTGTGCCCTTTAGAAAA